TAAACGAGAAGAAAATGCCGTGAAAAATTGTAATTAGTGCAAAGAAAGTGGATTGGAAAATCAATCAGTTATATTTTTAAATTTTATTCTAAATTTTCTCGCTTCTCTTCTTCTTTCTTGTTCTTCGTGAGAAAAATGAGAATTTTAAGAACATTTAAGCTTCTTTCAGAACCTCGAAATTATATTCCACTAATTCACTACAATCAATGATTTCATTTAACGTAGAAGTTTGTTCCTCTAATATCAACGCATTCACAACGTCAAAATTAGTATTAGTAATCTTGAATTAGTGGAAAAAGTTAACAAACTTTTAACATTTCTCTTCTCTATACTTCAAAATTTACGAAGAATGTCATTTTGGCGTTTGATGCATCCGTCAAGAGAAATTGTGGTTAGAAATCAATAGTTTATTGTTTTAATTATTGTTTAGCTTAATTTATATTAAGCCAAATATTAGGCTTTCTGTATGGATACAACTTACTACCGCAAGCTGTTCCTAGGATATTCTATTAATTATAATTGTGTTTCTTAAACATTGTGAATGATCGTAAACTAAAAAGTATAAAGTGGAATTGAAGTCACTAATTTATTCCACTAATTTCGTGGTTCTGAATGAAGCTTTAGATCAAGAAGAAGAAAAATTGAGAATAGATATGTATTTAGAGCATGTTATGCTACGTTATCGGCATATTTATATTGCATATTGTACCGTATGATCGAATAAAAACGGCGTCAGCGATGGCTATGAAATGAAGATCGCTGTCATTTTATATGTAAAATTATATGGGAAATGTCATCGATTGTCATTTCATAGCCATCGCTGACGCCGTTTTTATTCGATCATACGGTATAACTATCAACACTATATATACTACAATTTGCAAATGAAAACGGCAAATCAGTAGCTAAATTTGTATAATAGAGGTATAATAGTTACATTGGGGAATTCCCAATACTGATAGTACTGATGACTAGAAGGCAGTTTCAATGTAATATGTTTTTAATGTGATTTTCTGTTCAAAAATTTGAACCAAAAGTGGATTAATATTATAGGTATTACATGTCTTTTGTACAGGATGAGTCATAAATAAGGGCTGGTAGATCGCTACAGCTATCTCGATAAATGAAACATATTTTCTCTTTACCGGTTTCCAAATTAGTCCAAAATAACGGAGTGATTTTACTTCGAAAATTTAAAAATAAAATGATTTTTTGCTTAAATTTTGAGAACCACTGGATCTTATCCGGGTTTTCTTTTTTATAAATTTAATCTACTATACTGTTTATATTGCCATTTATCAAGATATTATATTTGTAACTAAAAATTCCAAATTTTCAAAAATAATCCCAAAAATACCTCGTACATGTGTTTCTGGGGTCGGAATATACTATCTCTAAAAATATTTGGCATTTACTTAAGACTCATACCCAAGGAAGCAGCCAGTTGTTGAGGAACAATCGTTGATAGACCAATAGAGATATCGACGAGATACTCGTTAACTCAGGGGCGCATATACGGGGAGGGTAATGTGGGTAATTACTTGTTCCAACAAGACATTTATAAATAAATTAAAATGTGGTATAAAATAAAATTGCCACAAAGAAATTAATAATACCAATCAAAATGGAAAATCCGGGCCAAACCAAGTTTTTTTCCACAGTCACAATAGTGACGATCAACATACTAAAGAAAGCTATATAGGAACTACCATCAATGCCAAGCAGCAAGAGATGCAGCTACACGGTGAGAACTGCGCTACAGTTTGAATAATGTGGCCAAGAGTATAGCACAAAGATAAAACAACTACTATAGAGCAAAAAAAGAACTTAGTACGCATAATTGTAAGTGTCATCACTAGAAACCTGCCCCACGGGAGTAAACCACGTAAGATGGAAGATTTACAATGACGACTACTGCAGAGAATACGGAGAGGAAGATGAAACCATAGAGAACTTGCTGTGCCACTGTCCGGCACTAGAAACCGATGCTTGCAAACTCCAAGGCACGCTTTTTTTGGGGGAACTAGAGGAAGAAGCAAAAGCCAACATCAGCGACATCAGGAACATTGCAAAGAGCTGGAAGTGCCTTAACGCAAAGAAAGAATATATAATATATAATATCAAACATAATCCCACCCGCAGCAACCTAACCTGACCTAAGATTCACCCTGTATAATAGTGTTATCTTGAGGAGTGTGAATACTCTTTTATCGATATTTTTAGCTGCTTTCAAAATATATCACACCTTTGAACAGGTCGAGTTCCGCTTTCGGCCATTATCATTATACAAGCAATTAGCTTTGGCACCCAAACGTTCGTTCGCCAAATTTTCGGAAACCGTCTATCCCCAAAAAAACTATCGATGACTAAAACGCCGACTACAGCGAAACCCTCTCAGCCCGACAATTAATACTGCGCAGCTATTCTTTTTGCGGACGCGGCGCATTCATCACCGAACCCGGCCGTCCGCTCGGCGAGAGTGTGGGAACCCGGGAGTCTCATAGGCGGCGAGCTCAAAGGATAATCGACAATATAAAACTGAAGTTAACATTCAGAAATAAAAAATAATCGGACGGAGAGCGATATAAATCAGCCACGAGCGAGAAAAAGCGACGAACGGCCGAACGAAGAAGGGAGGCGGACGAAGATGGAGAAAGAAATGGAGAATAGTAATAGTTGCGGTGGTTGGGAGGAAGAAGGAGAAGGATAGGGGTCTTTGGCAACGGATTTACCGCGCCACTGGAATGCGTCCGAAGACGCTGCGGAGGCTTAATTGGCCGGAATTCGTACGGATCCGATACGATTTAGGACGGAGTTAAGTACGCCGAGGAGCATGGGCTGAATGGAGCGGAGAGGTAAAGGCAGAGAGGCAGATGTTTCGTAATTGTCCAACTAAAATAATTTGTCTGTCGAAAATATCGGGACTTATTAATTTATTGTCAAAATAAAGAATTTATTATTTTTTCTCCAAGCCAATATTTGGAAAATTAAATTATTAATGGAGCTTCTGCAGAAGAAAACTATAAGACACTTCTTTCATTCACATTTATAAAAAATAACTAATAATATAGGTAGAAATAATACAAGTGATCTAACGCAGATAAAAATATTGAACAGCATAATAAATTGGTAATACAAGAATTAGTGTCTTTAATTTTGTGGTGGATTCATTAGAAAATTTTCCATGAAAAACACTACATAAACAAAAAATTAGTACATCAGTACAATGATTCGGTCGTTTCGAATTTTCCCATTGTCTGTATTGAATTTAACTTACACGACGCCGACGTATCAGTCAGATGTATCACTAACCGTTACTAAGTCAAATTTTTGTGACTGGGAACATCATTATTGGTATGCTTTATATATAATTACCAGATTGTGGATATTTCTACACACTAGGATTGCTGTAGGTACTTATTTTTGACTATTGTTATCGGTGACATATATATGTCATCGTCTAATGATCCAGTAGAGAGAATACGATTCGGAAGCTGCTCATAATAACTATCAGCTTGAGGAAATAATATGTTTACTTCCGGTACATAACTAATAATTTGAGGTATCGACGACCAAAACGATATATTTTTGCTCCCACTCCACTTCGAAAAATTGTCTTGCCAACTGAATCATAATCTGAGTTATCCCTTCTCCGAAAAGCATTGAGCTCTCTACACTGTAACTGTGGAACTGCGTTGCGTTGCCACATTCTAATATAAATTATAGTGAGCGCGTTATTATAAAACCCTGTTTCTGTTTTATACTGTTACTGTTATATTGTAGTTTCCGAGATTTCAATGGCCACTTTAGATTGGGACATCATCGTGTGACTCTGATTCCATAATAAACATATATGTATTTACAAATCGTAGCTACATACTCACATTCCTTTAATACGAAAAGTTTGTCGACAGTTTCAAATGTCTTCCCTCCTTTTTAGAACAGTTGACTTAGATGAAATGCTCTATGTACCAATACTCGATTATTAATCATCATGTAATTCGATATTAACAGCTAATTGCTGGAAAAATAACTGCTCAGAATTATTAATTGTGTTAAGAATATGTAGGCTTTAGTCATAGGCCCAGAACCCTTGCGGCGTTGCAAATGCAGTTACGAGACTGACCACAAAATGATGGGTATTAGATAACAAATCTCTAGAAGAGTGGAGAAATTCACTTGGGCAGAGACAGACATGCGAAAACGTTCATAGAATATTCTCCAAAACTAACGGCAAGCAAAGACATAAAGACAGTCAAAGTTGCAGGGTGTCTATTAACAGGGCATTTTATAAGCTGAAAAGGCATTCAAAGCTAATGGGATTGACGGACCAAGCCATGTGCAGGTTCTGTCAATCTGAAGAAGAAACGACAGAACACATTTTATGTCTGTGTGACTACGTGGCAAATGTGAGATTTTCGGTAATAGGCAATGGAGAGCTGTATGGAGGGTTCAGTATCTAAATTGCTAGACTGTTTGAAAAGAATAGGACTGGAGAATCTAACCTAAAGGTCAGAAGAGGACCACAAGAGATCTGAAAAGGTTGCAGTGGATCAGGCCAATAGCGACCTTGAAGCATTTACTCTACCCACGGTGTACCACGACGAGACGAGTTAGATATGCACCTCTTTTATTTGTACATTATCATTTTATTTCTACATTTCTATTTTATCTATACATGTATTTGTGCGATTGATTGGTTAATGTGTGTATACTTTTCATTATGACTCCATGTACTATATATGCCATACGATAAATAAATAAATACCGACAAATTTTATAAGCGATTAAAATTATCAAAATAATATCAATAGTCGGCAGAGGTATGTCAGCAGACTCTGGTATGGTTTATATAGATACTGTGTTACCGTACTCTTATCCTCATCTACACTTGAGTTTAGTGGTTACCTTAGTTTGGAGCACTATTTACCTCCCTGATTTTGAAAGAAGCATATTTATATTTACTATTCTTGGCTACATACTTACCGTTCTTTTTCCAGAAAGCTCGCCGATGACAGCTCGAAATTTCCCCGCCTCCTTCTGGAACAGTCAGCACTACGCGGGGGCCAGCGCTAGTCACCACGGAGCATCGGCGGCAGATCTCTACTCGGAACATTACCACCCGGGTGATGCGTGGTACCAGTATAGTCAGCACCATCGAGCGGTCCACGATTACCATCACCACAACATGGCCGCGCAGTACGGCGGTCTACTGTTGCCTGGATCGCGATTACACATGAGTTCTCACGCACCTTGCAAAGCCATGGACTGGCAGCATCCGTCGATAGAGTCGCCGTACTCATCGTATCCTACTATGTCAGGTAATTATTTCTCACTACTCATTAATATTATTCTCAATAATTTATTAAGCGTGTGTGTCTATTTGGAAAGTAAGTCAACTGATAATAGACGTATTTATGTGAAATCTGGATTATTAATGAAGAGACATTCTGTTAAAATACTTTCATGATTGTAGTACCGGCCTCCTCTTATCGTCTACAAGCTCACCGTAAAGCAGAGATTTTGGTGTGCGGTTTTCTTGCATTCTGTATACGTGACCAGCCCATCTTAAGCGGCATTTTGTAATCATGACTTCAATACTCTCGCAGTTAGCTTTTTTAAGGGCCGATACGTTTGATACACAGTGAAACTATTTGATTCTTAAGAGTTGTCTAAGGTGTCCTAGCTCTGTTGCAACTTGTTTAATGCGTTCATGTGTCGGCGGTACGGCACCCAGATTTCGCTTCCATATAACATAGTGGGGATTATTATTGCTCGATACAATGCAAGTTTCGTTTTTGTGCTCAAGTCATGATTGTAGAAAACCCTGTCTTTTAATTTCCAGAATACTCTTCAGGCGCTGCTAATCCTGTGCTGAATTTCAGAGTCGATATTGGCCTTTTCCGAAATCAATCTGCCGAGGCAATTGAATTCCGCTACATATTCCAATATTTCTTCTTGAATCTAGATTTTTATAGCATTGTTGTGATTTTCCGGGGGAGTGCACATGATTTTGGTTTTGTCGATGTTCAGCTTGGTCTAAAGCCTCGTATGCCCAGGTATATGCGTTTAACATTTCTTGTAATTGTTGTAACGCGTTTGCAACTAGAGCCCAGTCATCAGCATATTGAAGTTCTGTGATGAATTTTGTAGGTATGTGTTTTTGCCCTGAGTCTTTTTATGTTGAACACACCGCCGTCGTATCTGTATCTAATGCCCAATCCTCTTTCCTGTATTTTGCTGTCCACTATAATGGAGAGCGCTGCCATGAATACCTATGTTAATATTGATACTGAATATGTTAATACTGATATGATAATATGGGTACAAATATTAATATCTATTAATAAACAAAAATAAGTAAACGAAAACGATACAACAAAAATATAAAAAAAATCTCTGATGAAGTTCTCTCTGAAATTCTGGTGAAGTAGAAGAAAGTAAAGAAATAGAAAGCCACGAAAATTTTTCTCAGAAATGCATAATTTTCAGTTTTTCGACTTTAGAATAGCTGAAATTAGTTACATAAAAACAGGTTTCTGTTTGTTATTCTAGAAATTTTTCTAAATATAGACACGTAAAAAACTTCTTGCGGGAGTGTACCATTCTCATTTATTGATAAGATATTGTAAAATAGACCAAGATTTGCCAAACACTCGGCAATTGGATTCGGCATTAGCTTACCGCGTGTTTTGATTGCTTTGGTTCAGTTTGTTTTGGTTTGGTATGGTTTGTTGGTTCGTTTTTTTATCATTTCGTTTTTTTCTCGGTACGGTATGGATGTCTAAATTAAAGTATCTACACTAGGTCAAGTTCATACCTACACAAGAAAAGTATTCAGAATGTAAAGCAGGAACATGTTTTCCTGTAACACTGATTTCAGATGGAAGTCGGAAAAAAGACAGTGATGCATCTCCGCAGAGAAATTTTTATGATTTCGTGTTTGGGTAGGCTTCTATATACTGGATGTTGTTGTTTTTTTATAAGTGATTTCAGCTAAAAAATAGTTCACCCAAAATAGACCCCATAAAAGGCTTGAATATTTTCATATGAATTTGTTATGATATCTTCATGATATTAACTGCCTTTGAATGAATCTATCCGAATTTTATCATCAAAATTTCATCTCCGACCAAATTTGACGTATTCATCCATTAAAACCCGGCATCCATATAGCACACGGCACTCTGTTATTCCGGTCACAAAAGCTACGCAGAATGCGGCGGCCGCCGCAGTGAATTTGACCGTCCCGCAGCATCCCACATCGCTACCAAAGCACCGGAGAGAGAGGGCGGCCTGCGACATGCGACCTATGGGGAGAGCAGGAAAGAGACGGGAGAAGAAACTCGTCCTGCACTCGAGGAGAGATCAATAACTCGCTTGACCGCGGCCGGCCAATGGCGATGCCGCGTCGGGGATCCGCCTCGCCCCCCTCGGCATTCTTTCGGTCGGTCGGTGAAGATGGCAGCAGCGGCGACGACGATGCCTCGATGAAGCGGTAAGGAGTTCTGGGAATAGGCCGCAGGATTTCGAAGACGATTCTCACGATGTGGACGGATGGTTGGGCGGCGGAAGGGTTGTACTTTTAATCTCATGGGACGATCACCACCAAAATTAAATAGGGCATAACCCCCGTTTTAACCTATATACGAGGGTTGTCTTTTATATTTTCATATACCGTGTGGTGCTGTGGTGCATCGGAAAACGGGACATAGGAAATCCCATGTAAATTTTGAAAAGGTTTCTAACCTTTTACCTAATGTTATCTCCCCAGATGATTTTTATGCACAATTTCGTTTGATTTAGAATAATAGGCATCTAAAAGTTATTTGCAAAAATCTACCTAGTTTATTGATGAAACAGTATCCTGTTAAAAATACCATGACAATCCACAAGATTGTTCTTACTTAAATCAAGGAGAATCTTAGATTCTTCTCGGTCGTAAGTCCTGAGAAACTTCTTCGAGTGTCTTAGACCGTTGCAGGATTCGTATTCCAGGTTAAGGATGGTGTTTTCCAGGTTCTTTAGGACCACTTTGAGTTGGTTTCTACTTGGGAAGCAGCGATTCTGGGCCACAATTCTGTAACTTAGAAAACGCTAAGCGCTTTTAGACGCTCAGCGTATATGAGGTTAATTTTCGCTTAGCGCGCTCTTAACTATATAGATTTGGGTATTCCCATCGACACGCTTAGCGTTTTTACTGATTGAGCTAAGCGATTCGAAAAGGACTAAGTACCTTAATGGATCGTTTTGCTTATCGAACTGTCAGTAAAAATAGAAAAAATTGTAATTTTGTGCGTTCTCTTGCTGTTTAGTGAAAACTACTTCTTCTATAAATTCCTCTTTAATTGATAATTTACGACTTGTACACACTTCCTGTGAAGCGTCTTCAATATTTCCCTCGTATATAGGTATAATAAGAATAATGACATATCCATAGAAAAATAGGTTGACATAACTCAACAATAGGTTATGAAGTTCACGTAACATTGACATTATTCATTGTTTTATCCACATTTGATTATTATGCCGAGTCCAGACCAAGCAGACAAAACAACGACAAAACAGAAACATTCATGTTTTACGACAAAATTGCGAAAAATTCAATACATTTCTGCGACATTTTTGTCTGATTTTTGTTTTGTTTCAAAAATCGGAGACATTCTTTTCAATGTCCTGTCTCGAGTCGGTGAAGATCAAAGTGTCTCTGTTTTGTTCGTATATTTTACGACAAGTTGTCGGCGCAGTGTGGATGGCGTGTGCTGCCAACAGTAGTAGGAGACCAGTGAAATCACACATGGTTAATAAAACTCATTAACAACACAATTAAACTTTTGACTTTGTTGGACTTTTGTCCTTGCAGTGTGGACAATTATTTGTCTCAAGTTTGTCTTGTCAGAATTCCCAATTTTTTGTAGCAAGTCTTGTTTTTGTCTCAAAATCGTGTTTACTTTTTGTCGCCTTGGTCTGGACCCGGCATTAGATACCTCCTGAGAAATTGCGATGCTGTCAATATGTGCTCCACGCTTATCCAGAAAATGATTCGCACGGCAATGAAAATACCAAAATCGAATGCTTGGCGTTTCGCTAATCGAATACTTTCGCTTACCGTTTTGAAAGCGTAACGTTTTTATGTCGAAGTTCCAGAATTTGGGCCCTGGTCCTCGTGAAGCTCGTGAAACTGCTACTATATTTTATTAATTGTCTCTTGGTATATAGGTTATACATTTGAACATTATTAATAAAATAAGTGAACTATAGGGTATTAACATATTAAATTTGTTAATTTATCTTTATTAATAAAGTAACATCAAATTACTTTTTTGATTCGATGGGAAGTGATCGAGAAAATAAATTTCGTCAAACAGAAATCAAAGAATATGTCAATAAAGCTACTTTTAGATTATTGACTAGTACGTCAAAGCAGCGGTAGTACGAATTAAAAAACTAATTATTTAAAAGTAAGAAAATAAGTAGGTATCTATTAAAAAAGGTCCATTACTTTTAAAACAATTATTGTCAAAAAACTATAAATTTTTGACATTGTATCATGCCGTAACAGTGATACTCTTACTTACATTTATAGAAAACCTATAATGTTATTACAGAAAACACAACTCAAAAATATAGGCAAAGATCTTCCTTCATCCGATCGTTAGAATATTTCGTGTTTTCGCTATGCTTCCCCTATCTTTACGATTTCCGCTTCCAAATTTGGACACGACGACGGAGGGGGGAAACGCCTATAAACGGATCGCAGTGACGTTTGCAGAAAGGCCTTTTGACACCCCTTTTCAACATGGAGGCCCTTTTTTATGGCGATAGCAGCGACCGATAAGCGAATGGCGAAGGGGTGTAATTACTACCGTGGAACAGTGGCGTGTCTCTTATCGCAACTCGTAAACGATTCGGGCTCGTGCCGCTAATAACGCCGGACTTTTATTTTAATTACTCTAGATATGGGCGGGTACAACCATAAGAAAAATATGTATGGCTTGGGGGTATTAGAATTTGATAGATATTAATTTTTACAGCACTTTTTATTCACATATTCTAATTATCCGGTGATTGAACTATACTGATTCAAATGTTTTTTTTATTTACAATTACATAGAGTTTTATTAAACATTACATATTGTCTACATTACTTTTGAGTTTTAAAATATTGAAATGCTCTTATTATCAACCATTACTTCTTTTTTCCATTTTCCTAACTCGTCTTCCTTTATATCTCTTGCTTGAGATGTTAGTGAAGCAATGTTAAAACATTCTTTTTCTTAGAGTGCCATGCTCTATACAGAGCGTCGACTACCTCTCGCATGTACTTGTGATGTGTATCATCAGTGTTTCACAAGTACACGGGACCTACGGTTTATCGCCGAATCCGAACGGCACTATTTGAGAGGTTGTACAAGGCAAATATACTCAAGGTGGTTTGCCATTGCCTTCCTTGAGGTGGGGGCTCGCTGGTCGCTCTATTTAGATAAATCAATATTATTATTTAAATAAATAAAGTAACCGTACTGGCTGAGGATCGAACCCAGTACTCTCACCGCAGATCGACACACACTACTGCTTGCGCTACGGCCGGCCGGTCACAAAAACATTCTTTACTATACGAAAAATTTTAAATTGCCAAAAAATATTTATGTATTTTTATTGGAACTAAGGAAATTTGCCCGAATACTATTCACCGAAGGATGATTACCCGGAGACTATTGACCGAAACGAAAATTGTTCAATTCCCTAAATTTCGATTTTCGGTAAAATATTGCTCTAATACAATCATACACGGTCTAGCTAATAAAAATCAAATCAAACATCTCAGAACTTACGATCGAGAAAAATCAAATATTTTCGTAGATTTAAGTATAGAATGTAGAATGTTTAGGTGGCGAGTTAATCGCCGCGGACAGATTTATTGTGTTCCACTTTTTTGAGTTATAACGAGCTATAACTCATCATAGTCTCAGGGCTTTAACAAGCTTTAACAAAAGCGAATATCTGAGACGGCTCTACAGAGGCCAGCTCTCCATCCTCGATATCAGCCGTATCAAAGTTCATGACACGAACGGTCGTCGACGCACTCAATGATAAGGTGTTCTGGTGTTTTCCCATTTTTCCCGCAGAATTTGCATTCGCCGTTGTTTCTCAGTTTCTATCTACTGAGGTATTCGTTGAGGAGATGTCCTGTTAGAAACCCCCTGGCAATCCGAAGATTGTTTTTACTTAAATCAAGGAAAATCTTTGATTTTTCTGGGTCGTAAGTTCTGAGGAACTTTTTCGAGTGTCTTAGACCGTTGGAGGACACCCATTCCAGGCTACGGATGGAGTCTTCCAGGTTCTTCAGTTCCGCTTTCAGTTTGGCTTGGTTCCCGCTTGGAAAACAAAACGGTTGAATGTGGTTAATGTTGATTAATTCATTATTGATACTAAAAGAATTTCGTACTTCCGTTGTCCCTTATTTATTTAACACAACGTTTCGGTCAGATGTATCACTCACTGACCGTTATCAGGTGTGAACTAAACTACACACACCGGAAAAATCTAGGGATATCATTTTATTAAAGTTAAAAATAAATGTTTTGAATAAACAACCACATATTTGTAGGCCGATTCTTTCTACTTCGATTGAAACGAAGTAGTCACACTAGTTATTTCTAAATTTGGGATATTTTCAGAAGTGTTTGTGCATTTTTTGTCAAATGTCTAAAAAGCACCTAGCATCAATTGTTCGAATTTAACCTGTACTGGCTATGTTTTTATGATAACTGACTAGAATTCATTCAAATAACTCTGTTTAGTATTAAACGACATTATGGAGCGTAGACATCTTAACAGAGACGAAATGCTAAGGGCCATGTGTATGCTCGAAGCTGGAATGCGCCAAATCGAAACCAAACCAAACCAAACGCAAAGTGTAATATCGCGATTAAGTGCCCGCTACCGTGAAAGTGGTGATGTTGCTGAAAGGCACACAGGGCGACATCGCATTACTACCCCTCAGCAAGATCATTTTTTACAATTAAATGATCGACGCCGACCGACTCTTACAGCACCAGAGCTTAGTTTAATTCTCAAGGAAACAGATAATGTAACCGTTAGTCCTGACACTGTTCGCAATAGATTAAGAGAGGTCAGCTTAAGAAGCAGACGCCCCTGGAGAGCTCAACCCTTAACGAGAGGAAATCGAGAGGCACGATATTTGTGGGCTTAAGATCATGTTCAGTGGTCGAATGAACAATGGGCCAATGTTCTCTTCACGGATGAGTCACGCTTTGGAATTCATCCGGATTCGAAGGCCTAGGGTATGGAGAGAACCGGGAAATCTTATTCGGCTCCTGACCTCAACCCCATCGAGCATGTATGGGACGCGGTCCAAAGAAGAATTTTGAGAATGGGTATGCCTCGTGAAACTCGTAGGGATCTGGTTCGGGCCGTGAATGCAGCGTGGCAGGCTGTACCTCAAGAAGAGATCGACAACCTGATCAGGAGCATGGAGAGACGATGTAGGGCTGTAATGAACAGTAGAGGAGGCCATACCCTTTATTAAGTAAAACTGGTTTTATCTTTTTTTTTAATTCACAGTTTAGAATAAAAAAAAATGTGTGTATTTTTCTGAGTTCAATAAAAATCAAGGTAAATTTGAAAAATTCGGTAAATTTCGCATTCTTATTTCCAATACGTCCTGTAAACCCTTTGTTTATTATAATTTTATTGTATCAGAAATGCAAATAATAAAATTACTGACGATGGCTGGATAAAATTGTAATATCCCTAGACTTTTCCGGTGTGTGGATATCATTAATCTGTAGATTTTATATATTAGAGCAAGACATTCCCCTATGATGGAGTTGGTCAAGCGTGATGTGGTCCTTACTTAGGATGCAATTTTGTGGAAATTTCGACACTTGGATTGCTAAAGATGTTGTCATAGTTTGATATAAACATGGTTTCTCTTTAAATCTACTTTTTTTCCAATGATGTTCTTGTAGACAAACCGGGTCACCGACTACTTTATGTTAATATGTTAATCTGTTTGGACCACATACATATGCTCGGCAATACTAGACTTCACTGTCTCACCCAGGGTTTCACCTCTTGGCGTATGTTTTTTTACTCTGGCAGATTTAGGTGAATTTTTGTCCCTCCAATATAAGACTCACCGCATTCACACGGTACTTGGTAGAAGCACTTTTTTTGTTATGGGATGTTATGGGTTGGGTTTGTTAACATCTTTTAGGTTAGATTGAGGGAAGACAAACCATTTTTTGAAAGGACTTCGCTACCTTTTTAGGGAGCGAAGGAGCTCACCATTTGCTTCTGATTCTAGTATTTTTTTGGTATCAGAATTTTCTGCAATAATAATAAATCTACAAAATACATAAACTAAAAGCCATATCTAAAAGTAGTTATTAACTTATTATAAAGTTGTATTGTTATGATTTGTTGTACTATTATTATATTATAAGTATCATATACAATAATAGTACTACAGTTTATTCGATTAGATCGAAGTGATTGACGTATATATTTTTTATAATATTTTTTTTTGTTTCAGGTTTGGAAGCTCAAGTCCAGGACTCCTCGAAAGACTTGTACTGGTTTTGAAACGGACTGTTCGACGGCGCTGTGTATTATAGTTAGTTTCTAAGTGACGCAAAGTGATAATTCTAAGTGTAATATAAATAAATAAAAAAGAAGTACAAACTCACTAAACGTATGACAAGTGTCGATGGACGATTCGTCACGAACGGACTGCCGACATTTATTTTAAATAAATGTTCCTTATTTTTGTCAGATCGATCATTGTTTAAATGACTTCAAGTCTGATTGTAAGTATTAAAGTTACGAGTTAATATTTATAAATTGTGTTTTATTTATTTATACCCTGCTATAATCAACGTTCTTGAAGAAATTAGCGTAATTAATTAATCTGCAATGTGGAAAATATTTTTTATCTGAGAAACTAATTTGTATAAATTAGTTATAGAAGTAATTAATACAAAGCGATCTGCATTAAGATAACTGACTTAATTAATTCATAGATTTTTTATTTATAATTTAACGCTATTAATTTTAAATGTTGATATTTTGTTATTTTTCATATACCAATTATTTATGAATTTATAAAAAAATCGCTGCTGAAATCGATTTGCTGAAATTCATTACTCGTGTTAAATAAATATAAAAAAAATAAAAATTTTAGAAAAAAAGAAATGACAAGTCCTTACATACAGCTGATGAAGAAGGTATTATTTCTATCTTCAACAATATTGCTGAAGAATTAATCACAGATAATAATATAACAGAATTTGAATATTCATTTTTTACTTCCTTCACCCGAAATGACTACAACTTTTGATTTTTAAATGGCACCCTCGGTATATTTCAACTTTATTCTGAATAACTGAATAGAATGACATATCATATGTCAACTTTTGATATTTTCGTTTAAAAAGTCATATTTTAAACGTCAATCTAGAATGCCACGGCTGTGTTAAAAACACTAATTTTTAATCAAGGAGCTGTTTTTCGTGTCTTGTCCTGACCGGTTAAAAGACGCCAAAATCGTATGTTTAATCATATCTCAATAATTGTTTCAAATAGAACAAGGGTGGCTCATTAGCATATTTGGAAAAATCATTTTTTATGAATACTTTGGTACCACACGCATTATGGACCGCATGTTAGAATTTGAAATAAACCATATGCGAAAATGTCAAAAGTTGACATATGATATGTCATTCTATTCAGAGTGTCATTTTCTATCGAATAAAGTAGAAATATGCCGAGGATGCCTTTTAAAAATCAAAAGTTGCCATTTCCGGTAAAACAGGAAGTGAGTGAAAACAATTAAATACGCCAATTAATAATAATTTATAGGGGTGATCCACTTTTGAGACGCACCCGGTATATTATAAAAAGAATTTTAAAAATCAATGCCTATTATTTCATCGCTTTTCTCCATCTTTTGATTATTTAACCAGGAGTTAATTGATTTGTGCAATGAAGGGCTCATATAAAACTATAATACTATACCGGGTACGTCTCAAAAGTGGCTCACCTCATCTCTATAACTTTTTTATTTTTTCAGAAAAAAAACGAGATTTGTATGTGTTTTTTATGACAATTATAGTTTTATAGCACATTTAAATATAATATAATATGACAATATACATTTAAATATAATATAATAAATATAGTTTTATAATACATTTATATCACAAACTATGACAATCATAGTTTTCTATGACATAAGTTAGGATTGGTTGACGCATTCAATTCTTTTCTGTCACTTCCTGTTTCACAGGAAATTATTACAACTTTTGTTTTTTAAATAACATCCTTGGTATTTTTTTACTTCATTTAATAAAATATGACATTCTGACTAGAATGACATAGCATATGTCAACTTTTGACATTAAAAAAAATAACATTTTAAATTTTAATTTATAGTTCCGTGGTACCAAGTGTGTGGCACCAAATTATTCGTAAAAAATGATTTTTCAAAATATGCTAATGAACCACCCTCGTTCCAATTGAAAAAAAATGAGGTATGATTAAAAATACGATTTGGGCATCTTTTACCCGGCCAGGACAAGGCTCGAAAAAACATTAGACGATCAAATATATTTTTCCTAGGCTCCTTGATTAAAAATTACTGTTTTTAACAGTCATGGTACTCTAGATTGAAATTTATGTAAAGGGATTTAAGATTTTTTTTAATTGAGTTAAGTAGTTTTTTTTAAGCGAGAATGTCAAAAGTTGACATATGATAGGTCCTTCTATTCTGACTGTGTCATTTTCTATCAAATAAAGTAAAAAAATATAGAGTGTCCCATTTAAAAATCAAAAGTGGTTGTAATGGAAATGTCCGGTGAAACAGGAAATAATTGAATACGTCAATCAATCCTAATTTATGTCATATGCCAACATACCAAATCTCATTTTTTTAGTTGAAAGAATAAAAAAGTTATAGGGGTGAGCCACTTTTGAGACGCACCCGATTTACTATACTCTGTAATTTTTTAGTTGAAAAAAAAAATTAAAAAGTTATAGGGATGAGGATGAGCCATTTTTCAGACGCACCCCGGTATACTATACTCATATCAATATATAGATTCTAGTGCTTATTCATAAAAATTTAAATTAAAAATTGTAAACTACAATACAATTATTATAATTGAGACAAAAATATAACATACAGAGATAAAATGATAAATTACTCTATTCAAAATACATTCGTCGTTGAAATTTTATACCCATGTCTTAAAATAAAAAAATATAAATAAATTATTATAACCTAACTCAACCTAACCAACTGAAAACACAGCAAGCTAATTACCTATACCTTTTGCATATAATTAAGCAGAAATATACATTTTCTAATGGTTTCATTTGAGAGCCATGAGGTTCTTATTAGATATAGACCAGAGCTTAATCGATGGTTTCATCAATCATTCCTGAACCACTGTCCAGAACCACTTCAAAAGGAAATCCGCCGCTCCTGGATCATTGATTAATACATTTACAAGACAACTTCGCAGCTTTTAAGTGCGTTTGCAAGTGTGTGCCACATGCTGAGCCCTAACACAGGTCCGGATTCGCACATTGCTCATATCTGAAAATATATTAAGCTATAATATATTGTAGTTTATTTAATATTTGATAATTCTAAGAATTCTTTTAAACATATTTTTATTAACACTTAATACATTCACGATATTTATAAACATATTTAAGAAATATTAGAATATATATAAGGTGTTTCAAAAAACATGTGCTATCTCTCATGGGAAGCTCCTCACATAAAAATAAGATTTATTTTTACAGGGTGTTAAAGTCTTAATAATCTTTCGATTTATTATAATTTTCTTCCAAGCAGTTTTAGTGATTCGAATGAAATTTTGAGGGTAAAAGTTACTACATGTTTTAATGCTAAAAAAGTGTCGATAAATTCATAAGGGACGTGTATATGGGTTATCACTGGAATAATATTCCAGTGAAAAGTATATGAAAAATATGTATATTTGTATATTCCAAAAAAAAAAATATGTGCGTCACTGACTTTTTCTTTTGATATCAAAATTGTGTAGACCGTTTAATGCCAATTAAAAGTTATCTCTTGTTATTTTGTCGATTTAGATGAGCTAAACGCAATTTTATTAATTACAATTATTATTAATAAAATTAAAATAGAAATAAAATAAATAAAGTATATATTTTACCTAATTTATTATTAAATATTTTTACTATTAGTAAGTTATTATTACTATTAGTCCAACCTACAGCAATTTCAAATTAAAAATAATGGTAAAATAAAAACACTAAATCACCACAATACACCAAAACACTTTTACTTTTACACTGGACGCGCGTTTCGCTAACCATGTTAGCATCATCAGCAGATGATTATAAACTATTTTGATTTATATATGACATATGATTATAAACTGTTTTGAGTTTATAATCATCTGCTGATGATGCTAACATGGTTAGCGAAACGCGCGTCCAGTGTAAAAGTAAAAGAGTTTTGGTTTATTGTAGTGATTTAGTGTTTTTATTTTGCTGTGTAACACCAAAGGTTCCAACCCTCAACTGTAATTTAAAAATAATGGTATTTAAAAATACCTAATTTTAAAAAATTTTAGCATTCTCTCGTTTAACATTCTGTAACATTCTCTATTTTAACATTCTGTAACTCTAAAACTATGCATTTCCATACCCATGTTGATAGGAACTTTTATTTATATCTTTTGATAAGGAATAAGGAATCTATGAGTACTTTTTAAAACTTTCGCAAGTTAATGATATTAAATGTTGATATTAAAATTGATGAGGCCGAAATCTACTACCGACAAAATATCAAGCATTAATAACTCATATGCACGTCCCTGGTCAATATGTCGATACTTTTTTCTCTTTAAAATATGTCGCATTTATAAAATAAGTATAAGTAACTTTTACCCTCAAAATTTCATCCGAAATGCTAAAAGTACTTGGAAGAAAATTATAATAAATCGAAAAAATATTAAGATTTTAACCGATGACCTCTTTAACATCCTGTAGCTACGACCTATGATGATATGAAAAATAAATCTTATTTTTACTTGAGGAATCTTCCCACGAGAGATGGCACATGTTTTTTGAAACACCCTGTATAATAAATCGAATATCTCCGAAAAAAAAAAGAATTATTGAGATGAACCAAAAAAGGCAATATCGAGAACAGGTGTATAGTTCATATCAAATGAACTTTCAGTCACGTGATTAAACTTGACCGCTACAGCGTTGACCTCTTTTAATTAAAATATTTTAGAAAACAAAAATAAATTAATTATAAATACATATATAAACAGTTATTATTTACATCAACAAAACCTTCTTAGCAGCACTTAAAGGACATAAAGGGCCATTTCTACTGCTTCCCTGTTCAAAATATTCTAATAATGTTGCGATGAGCTTTTTTCGACTATAAACTTCTTATCTCGTACCACTTCACACAAGAGGATCTAAAAAGAACAATGTTCGACTGCAAGATCTGCTAGTAAAAACTTTTAAGCTTAAAGTAACGACATATATTACATAGTGATCAAAACATATTACCACGTTTTAATGGACATGTATTCGATGACATCTAAACTGCAATGGATACATATAAAGTACTACAAAATCGGTTAATTTTTATAAAAAAAAACATATTTTTGTATTCGTAGTTATTTTCAAGTCTGAAGACGGCGCCATAATATTATTATTATGGATCTAATGTTATTAGTATTGATAAAAATATCGATGGTTTGTTAAACTGTGTTATATGTTAGATGAAATATAATAATATGATGAAACAAATCAATATGAAGGTGAGT